ATGTCGTTGCCAGAACCCTACAAATATTTTGTATCTGCATGGGAGTCAGTTGGGACACATTACAAATAAACAGAATGAGAAACCTAATAACAACAATAAAGACAATGCTTTCATAAGCACAACCTTAGCAAATGAGACAATAAATAACACAGATTGGATATTGGACAGTGGTGCAAGCGATCACATGTGTTGTTAGGTAGAACAATTTGTAGAAATGGAATCTGCAAAGGAAATAAAAATTGGAGATGGAAATATCTTAGATGCTACAGCAGTAGGAAGAATTCGGTTAAAGGCATTCAATGGAAAGGATTGGAAAATGGTAGATTTGAAAAATGTTTTGTATGTACAAGGTTTGACATCAGATGAAAACATATGTAAGTTTACTAAAGATAACGTAGTTGTTGCGATAGTATTAAGAGATGGAAAGTTGTATCTAATGAACTTTGAGCATGTAACTTTTAAATACAGAGCAAATGTAGGAGTAACTGTAGACACGTTACAAGGATGAGGGAATTGTTAAAGAGATTTTAGAATGAAGGCAGAAAACGATATTAAAAGAAAAGTAAAAGTAATAAACAGAGACAATGGTTTAGAATTTACATGTAAAGAATCAGATACCAAAAAACAATACCATATACACCACATGGTAGGGCTGAACGAGAAATGAGAACTTTGGTAAAAGCGGCAGAAGAATATTGAAAAGTGTTTTTGGGCTGAAGCAATGAATACTCCAGCCTACACTCTGAACAGACCAGGAAAACGATACATACATTTCCCGAAATAAAAAAGAAGAAAATGGAATAGTAAGAGTAAAACGGTGTTATTCATGGGATATAAAAAGGATATGAAAGGGTGCTTATAATGTATAAAGGGTATAATTATATGCAAGAATGAAAAAGTAAAAAATGTAAAATGGGGTTTCAAGATAAAAAAAAATGAAGAATAGATACAATAAAAAGCGAGATTGGAAGTAAGAGGTTTTTTGCAACAGGACATCGATTATACCGATATCTATACTCCAGTACTAAAACTGCAAACAGTTAGAACGTATTTAACTATAGCACATCATTTAAAGAATGAAGTTTTAAAATTGAGAAAAGCTTTATATGGTTTGAAAAGAAATCACCGAAATATTGGAATAAAAGATTTAATACATTTATGATTGAACAGAATATTAAACAATCAATGGACGATTATTGTTTCAACAGGAAATTTCATATAACTCGTAATATATGACTGCAATAAACATAGTTACGAAACTACTATGCGCCTGTACTGTCCTACATAAAATGCAACATAGCTTAATAGTACAGACATTGGGTAGTTTTGCAAAGGAAAAGTTTTGCTTGGAAAAGGTGAGCCGCACCTTCCTCAAGAGGGCTAACCCCAAATGATTTTAATTCTAGGTCTTGCGTTAGTTCTAGTGATAGTGCTAGTGTAAAACTACAACTAACACTATAACTAGAACTAGAAACATTTGAGGTTAGCCGCACGTTTATCAAGACGGCTAAATCCGAATGATTCTAGTTTTAAGTCTTGTGTTAGTTATAGTGATAGTGCTAGTGTAAAACTAGAACTAACATTAGATCTAGAACTATAAAGCATCGGGTTTAGCCGGGCGTCTTTAAAATGTTTCTAGTTCTAGGTCTAGTGTTGGTTGTAGTTTTAGTGTAATAAAAATATGTACCACTGCCACTAGAATTAACATTAAACCTAGATGTGGAACCATTCAGGTTTAGCCGTCTTAAGAGACTCACGGCTAAATGGAATGTTTCTAGTTCTGGGTCTTGTATTAGTTCTGGTGATAGTACTATAATAGAACTAACACTATAGTGAGAACTAAAACAATTAGATTTAGCCGCACGTCTCTCAAAACGGCTAAACCCGCATGATTCTAGTTCTAGGTCTTGTGTTAGTTTTAGTGATAGTGCTAGTACAAAACTAGAATTAACACTAGACCGAGAACTAGAAACATTCGGATTTAGCCGCACGTCTCTCAAGACGGCTAAACCCGAATGATTCTAGTTCTAGGTCTTGTGTTAGTTTTAGTGATAGTTCTAGTGATAGTGCAATACTAGAACTAACACTAGATCGAGAACTAGAAACATACGGATTTAGTCGCACGTCTCTCAAGACGGCTAAACCCGTATTAGTAAACCCTATGTTAGTTCTAGTGATAGTTCTAGTGATAGTGCAATAGTAGAACTAACACTAGATCGAGAACTAGAAACATTCGGATTTAGCCGCACGTCTCTCAAGACGGCTAAACACGAATGATTTTAGTTCTAGGTCTTGTATTAGTTCTAGTGATAGTTCTACTTCAATAAAAATATGCAACATAGTTATCTTATCTATAGAGGTTTTACTGTAGTGTCAAATTATATTGACATGTTGCATTTTATGTAGGACAAAGTAAGTAGGTACACCCTAGTGTCTATGGAAATATATTTTTGTATATTGCATCTTAAGTGAAATTCACTGTACCTATACAAAAATAGACAAAGAAACTCGAATATATATTCTAATTTACATTTGAATGATTTATTAATAATTGGAAACAACAAGGAAATAATTGAAGAGATAAAAATGATTCTAAAAGAGTTTCTAAAATTTCAAATTGCAAAATGAAATATTTGGGAAATGTAGGAACATATTTGGGAATAAGAATAGAACAAGAGGAAGAAAAAATGGCGTTACATCAAATACCTTATTTGAAAAGAATATTAAAAATATATACAGGCTGATTTATTAGCTCACCATCAAACTTTGACATATATTAATGAACATACGTCCTATTTCAATTATTTACGAAATTATAACACTTTAAAGTTTTAATTTTTATATCATAATTAACTGCAAAATTTTTTTTAAACCCATGAATATTACAAATATTGTTCAAAATAGCCTCCTTCTGCTAGAATATATGCTTCACAACGATGAATTAAAGAGTTCTTTGGCCGAATTAAAATGTCTGGTTGATTTCTTATTTCAGTAGCAGCCATTTGTATTCTGTTTAATAACTGTTCTCGTGTGTTAATTTCCAGTTGATACACAATTTGTTTAATTTGACCCCATAAGTAGAAATCCAATGGATTAGGATCGGGGGATCTAGGTGGCCAAGCAAATGGACCATTATTACCATCAAGTAATAATCCATCGTGTACATGCAAACCTAGTAAATTGTTGTTAAATATTCCACCCCAAACGTTGATGATGAAACGTTGTTGAAATTTCCTTAGTCTATTCGCATGCGGATTTTGTAATGCCCAGATATGTTTATTATGGTAATTATTTATACCATCTCGTATAAAACATGATTCATCTGTCCAGAGAACATTTGAAATGAAGTTATTATTTTGGGCATGTTGCTGCAATAACCATTCACAAAATGCTAACCGTTGCTGATTATCCCCTGGCTGTAGAGCTTGAACATTCTGTTTACGATACGGATGAAGGACTTCGCGGTTCAATACGCGCCATGCAAAATTTTGACTTACATGTATGTTGTGTGCTATTCTTCGAGTGCTGATGGAAGGATTAATGGCAGCATTAATTACAACTTCTTCGTCCTCTACATTAACTACATGCGATCGAATAGCTTTTGTTGGAGCAGGATTACCTGTTTCTCGAAGTCTTCTGAAAGAATCGCTAAAAACTAAATAATATGGCAAAAGACGCTGTGGAAATCTGTCTTGATATTCTCGTACTGTTCCATTGCAAAAACCATACACGAAAATTATATCAGCATACTCTTCAGTGCTATAAGCGTACATTTTGAGTTTCTTCTTGTATGTAATAATTAAACCTTACAGCAAAATGACATATTACAATAACAACTTTATTTTTGTTGAATGGTTGATTTTGACTGACTATTAATCAATTCGCTGCAGAAAATTTAAAAGTGTTATAATGTCGTAAATAATTGAAATAGGACATATGTTCATTAACATTTTTTTTTGGTAAATTGGATTAGCTATCATAAGTCAGTTTGATGGTGAATTATTATACAGTTTGATATCCTGTATAATGGAAAAATGCAAGCCGATTGGAACACCTATGGATCAAAACTTCAAGATGAAACAAAGCAAAGCATCAGAAAGTCAAGAATTAGAAACCAGATGTAGAAAGTTGATTGGATTATTAATGCATGCAGCCATGCATTATGTTGATATATAAAATGTTTCAATTGAGAGAGGGTGTGATGCAACAATTAGTAACATTGTACATACATATAATACATGGCGTTAGAGTTAGTTTAAAAAGTAAATAGTATTGTTTTCAATATAAATAATAATAAAAGTTACACCGCTGGTTTTTAATTAAAAGATTTCAACCACCACCTCTGACAAAAGTGATTTTTAAAAACGAACTTCACCGATGAAAAGTACACGAGTTGATAATTGGTGAAAATTTCATAAATATTTTCTGGGAAATCGATACACGAATACAACTGGTAGAAAATGAATCAATTAACTGACTTGGTTAGAAACGATATAAACACCAAAATTATTTAATATAATAATAGAGAATATCCGCGGATTTTGCGATAAGTTCGTTGCAGTTGATGCAAACTTTTAACTGGAAACTAAACACCATCTCTAGGTAATAAAGTTGAATGTAAAAGGAATCTAACGTTGCATTTAACACTGCATAGCAGGAACTTGCCTATTTCCAAACCAAGACTTTATAGTTTCAAACTACAAAATATGACGTAAAAGCCGAACCAGATATCTTCTGCTAGTTTTCCGATGGAGTGGTAACTTCTAAATATAAACTTAACAAACTGATTAAATACACTACATAAGCATAACAAAATATTTCTTCCTTCACATTATACAATCAAAACTTACATTTCCATACACCAAATATTATTTTACCACCTTCGTGAATTCACCCTAACACCAATTAGATTTATGTGTTCCAATTTCAAATTCTGACATTACCGAAATTGTGTACTCTAGTAACATCCTAAATACACTATAAACATGACTTGAACATACCTAAAATTGGTTGTCCACGTGGGGTGGCTTGTCCGCCCATCGTTAGAACGTGGGAATGGTCCGCAGTGAGTACCAAAAGTGTCTCCGTGGGATTTACAAGGGCCATAGCTGCCAACAGAGCCGTTTCCATCGCTAGAGTTTCATCCAGAGCTCTATAAGCGTTGTTGTAGTGGTGGGCGTGATCTATTCGGCCACCTGCGACGATAAATTTAGCTCGGATGAACATACCAATTAAGTTTAGTGCGCGATAATTCGAACGTTTTTCATGGCAACTGCCTCGGCGTTTAATCGGCCGACACCGTTTAAACCGAAACCCAGAAGCTTGGAAGGACGACGAAGACGTCTGAAACGCGAGCCGCGATCTTATCTAGAGCAGGAAATTTGCATAATTGTGCAGTATAACTCCGACGTCCTGGTTCTTTTTTATTTTTTTTTTTCGTAACTTTATCTTTTAATTAGTACTTAAGATATGGAGTTGAATTTTAACGGTTATTTTGTTTAAAATTTTTGCAATAATTATAACTTATTTTCTGACCCGATGGATTATTGAATTAACAAACGTCGATTTAACGTCGCGTAATCCGTACTTTATCCGAAACGCGTTAAACGTGCAATAATTTATCGTTCGGCTTTTATAGCGATTTGCAAATTTAATGCTTTCACATACGGACAGATTTATGATTGGTGATGGATATTACGATGACAATCGGTCACGCGGCGTCAATAACTGTCATCCACTCTGTTCCAGTTAGTTAAAAACCAATAAATCTTACGCACCTTCAACAAACAAAAAAAACCCTTTGTTGTTCTTTTGAAGTATTGATAAAGCAGATCTGGTCATATCCGCTAACGAAGGATCTCCTTGAGCACCAGGATCCCGATCGGCCTCAAAATCCATGTGAGAATACGCAAATAACCCTGCAAAGAATAATTCACATAAAAATATGTACAACCTTAAATTTTCAACTACACATAAACAACAACTCGTACCCCCATCAACAACAAACTATGCATAAAGTGTGATACATCAGATGTTGTTGCTTGGTCGCCGTGAGCCGAACTTCCCGCAGACGCAAGAAGTGACGTAAATCATTGCCGGTCTGGGAGTTATTGGGGAGAGAGGACGATCGTTTATTTCAGAGGACGCTTCCACGTATAAATTACAGAGGAAGTTGGGGGAGCAGCAGGTGTGGAAATACGGTTCATAATTGCGGAATTCCTTCTTTGGTGTTCTTGTGTGACCCCTTCTTTGCGTACATCCCACTCCCCAACCTTTGCAATCTATTACCAGAAACTCCAACTATGGAAACACTTGGTAAACACTTAGTTTAAATTGCTTTTGATTCAACCACCTTTTTTGCTATATACCTCAAAGAAGTTTTGGAGATAAATGTGAGTTTTTAAGTAACTCAATATGTCAATATCAAAATACTTGGAAAATATCAATTTAGAAGTAAGTTTGACTGGTTTCTTTCAATATTTAAGTAATGTTATTGTTCTTACTACAAAATTAATAAGGTTGGGTTAAAGTAGGTTATGTAATATGTTTTTGTAGTCCGTTATGATTTATGGATTATTTTCTATCCGTAATAAGTTAATAAAAAAAGTGGTTTATTTAGAAAATGTGGTCTATTTAGTTTTTTGGGTTCTAACTAAAAAATTGGCATATTTGGGTTAAAATAAATTATCTACTATGCTTTTATGGTTGATTCTGAAAAACCTTTGTTAGTAACTTTAAGTTGTATTGGTTTTAGTTTTTAGAGTTACTGCCCTACATTAATGAGTAATACTTTTATTTTGAAATGTTGATCTTAATAATGGGGTTCTAATTACAAAACGAATGTCGTTGGCTAAAACTGGGTTATGTATTATTTTTTGTAGTTTATTATGATTATTGATAGAAAATAACTCCATCACCTATCTCATTTACTTTTAAAGTTACCACCTTAAATTAATTAAAAATGTGGTCTATTTAGAGAGTTTGGTCCTTATTGGGTTCTAACTAAAAAATTGGCATAGTTGGGTTAAAATAAATCATCTACTATGTTTTTATGGTTTATTCTGAACAACTTTTATTAGTAACTTTAAGTTGTATTGGTTTTAGTTTTTGAGTTATTGCCCTACATTAATACATTAATACAAAAATACAAAAATACAAATTCACAGTGGTGGTGTCGACAGCGTTTCTTCGTTCCTCCATTATTGTGCCAATTAATTAGGATTAAACTGAGAGTAACTTGATAAGACTGCCACTAGTGTAAACCGCGAGTGCTCCCCTATAATTTTATGTTAAAACCAGCTAGTTTTGCTTAGCAGTTTGGTGATTAATTCGCCGTAAAAGTTGTGACAATTCTACACGTATAGTAAGATTCTTTATTCTCCATACAAAACTGGTTTTCATACTTCTTCTATATAAAATGAATAAACAACTTAGTGAATGCAAAATAAATACTTTAAAATTAGCTGAATTAAAAGAATATCTAAGCAAAATGGGACTAGATAACACGGGGAAAAAGGTGGACTTAAAAGTTAGACTCAAAAATACTATTAACACGGATCAATTATTAAACGACGATCGAGAACCGGAATCGCAACTTGACAACTCAAGTGACAGTATAAAAATAGTAATAAATGTTAAAACACGCTCCCGACGCATCGCATCAATTTCGAACGGAAAAATGATGTTAAAAATGATAAACAAAATCGACTACCTAGAAAAAAGAGTTAACTATCTAGCTGTACGGCTCACAAAATCGTTAAAACTTCTCAATAGTTTCAAAATAAAAAATTCTCCCTTAAACCAATCGATTAAGAAACCAAAACATAAAAAAAGTAAGACGCAAATTAATAAAGCTAATGACATTTCTGACACACAAGAACGTCCTGTAAAGGACATCTCCTCGCAACTACCTCCTCCGATGACACCGGTTAACGTGGTTACTAAATCAGCACCCAAGCCTACATCCCTCCACAACGTGCCCCGATGCGATGAATTCTATCAAATGGGAAGACAAACAACACCCAAGACTATTTCAAAATCTAAAGTTGTGTTACTGGCTGATATGAATGTAATTTGTATATCTGTGCCATACTGGTACCACAATAATAAACATATATTAAATAAAAATATCTATAATCTGAATTGTAAAACATACAATTTTTTGCAAACATTAATTAGCAGGAAAAATTGTTTTATTGAAATTAATGGTATTGTTGATAAAACAGATAAAACCAAACATGGCTTGCATACAAAGGGTAAAGTGAAGCTTTTTAAACAGTAGCTAATTTGATTGTGAGTGCTACCCAATATGGATTGCACAGTAACATAATTACAGTTTGTACTAATCAGAATCGCTCAAATTTTATTCAGGTTACCAAAAACAGATTGATAATTTAGATAGCAATATTTTGTTAAAAAGGGAAATCAGTGGTCCTGGTGGAGGAAAGGTCGATACACCGTCATATCAATTAATAATAAAACTCATGAACTTGAATCCTTTTTAAAAGATAAATGATTTGATTTACTATGTTTAAATGAACAATGGTTGCATGACGATGAGTTGAGCATTTTGGCGGTCAAGAATTTTATAGCTGTTGCTAAATTTTGTAGATCAACTCATGAGCGAAGGGGCGCAGCCATATATTTGAATTTAAATTCTCTCGGGCCTTCGTTTCAGTCATTGGAGTTTGTTACTGAGGACATAAATAATGAGCTTGACTTTGAATTCGCGCGGATAATTTTAGTTTTTGAGTTTCTGCCCAACATTTATGAGAAATACGTTTATTTTGAAATGTTGATCTTAATGGAGTTCCAACTACAAAAGTAATGACGTTAGCTAAAACTGGGTTATGTATTATTTTTTTGCAGTTTATTATGATTATAGATAGAAAATAACTCCATCACCTATCTCACTTACAATTAGTTTTAAAGTTACCACCTTAAATTAATGAAAAATGTGGTCTATTTAGAGATTTTGGTCCTTATTGGGTTCTAACTAAAAAATTGGAATGGTTGGATTAAAATAAATTACCTACTGTGTTTTTATTGTTGACTCTGAATAACTTTTATTAGTAACTTTAAGTTGTATTGGTTTTAGTTGTTGAGTTACTGCCCTACATTAATGAAAAATACGTTTATTTTGAAATGTTGATCTTAATGGGGTTCTAACTACAAAACTAATGTCGTTAGCTAAAAATGGTTTATGTATTATTTTTTTGTAGTTTATTATGATTATTGATAGAAAATAACTCCATCAACTATCTCATTTACTTTTAAAGTTACCACCTAAAATTAATGAAAAATGTGGTCTATTTAGAGATTTTAGTCCTTATTGGGTTCTAACTAAAAAATTGGCATAGTTGAGTTAAAATAAATTATCTACTATGATTTTATGATTGATTCTGAACAACCTTTGTTAGTAACTTTAAGTTGTATTGGTTTTAGTTTTTAAGTTACTGCCCTACATTAATGAGAAATAAGTTTATTTTGAAATGTTGATCTTAATGGGGTTCTAACTACAAAACTAATACCGTTGTCTAAAACTGGTTTATGTATTATTTTTTTTGTAGTTTATTATGATTATTGATAGAAAATAACTCCATCACCTATCTCATTTACTTTTAAAGTTACCACATTAAATTAATGAAAAATGTGGTCTTTTCAGAGATTTTGATCCTTATTGGATTCTAACTAAGAAATTGGCATACTTGGGTTAAAATAAATTATCTACTAAGTTTTTATGGTTGATTCTGAATAACTTTTGTTAGTAACTTTAAGTTGTATTGGTTTTAGTTTTTAACTTACTGCCATACATTAATGAGAACTACGTTTATATTGAAATGTTGATCGTAATGGGGTTCTAACTATAAAACTAATGTCGTTGGCTAAAACTGATTTATGTATTATTTTTTTGTAGTTTTTTATGATTATAGATAGAAAATAACTCCATCACCTATCTCATTTACTTTTAAAGTTACCACCTTAAATTAATGAAGAATGTGGTCTACTTGGAGATTTTGGTCCTTATTGGGTTCTAACTAAAAAATTGGCATAGTTGGGTTAAAATAAATCATCTACTATGTTTTTATGGTTGATTCTGAATAACTTTTGTTAGTAACTTTAAGTTCAATTGGTTTTAGTTTTTGAATTACCGTCATACATTAATAAGTAATACGTTTATTTTGAAATGTTGATCTTAATGGGGTTCTAACTACAAAACTAATGTCGTTGGCTAAAACTGGTTTATGTATTATTTTTTTGTAGTTTATTATGATTATTGATAGAAAATAACTCCATCACCTATCTCATTTACTTTTAAAGTTACCACCTTAAATTAATGAAAAATGTGGTCTATTTAGAGATTTTGGTCCTTATTGGGTTCTAACTAAAAAATTGGCATAGTTGGGTTAAAATAAATTATCTACTATGTTTTTATGATTGATTCTGAACAACTTTTATTAGTAACTTTAAGTTGTATTGGTTTTAGTTTTTAAGTTACTGCCCTACATTAATGAGAAATACGTTTATTTTGAAATGTTGATCTTAATGGGGTTCTAACTACAAAACTAATGTCGTTGGCTAAAACTGGTTTATGTATTATTTTTTTGTAGTTTATTATGATTATTGATAGAAAATAACTCCAGCACCTATCTCATTAGCTTTTAAAGTTACCACCTTAAATTAATAAAAAATGTGGTCTATTTAGAGATTTTGGTACTTATCGGTTTCGAACTAAAAAATTGGCATAGTTGTGTTAAAATAAATTATCTGTTATGTTTTTATGGTTGATTTTGAACAACTTTTATTAGTAACTTTAAATTGTATTGGTTTTAGTTTTTGAGTTACTGCCCTACATTAATGAGAAATACGTTTATTTTGAAATGTTGATCTTAATGGTGTTCTAACTACAAAAGTAAAGACGTTAGCTAAAATTAAATCAAAAATTAACGATTTTGTTACTTATTGACTTCTCATTATAAAGATGATGGATTTAGGTTAAAGTAGTAATATTATTTTGGCGTATAGTTGTTAGAAGATTACATTTTCAATATTTATTACGAAACATTATTTTAGATCGTTCCTGATTTCATTTGAAAATTCCAATTTAAAGTTCGCTTAACTTTAAACTAACTTTTTCCGACATAAAATCCATAATCAATACCCCTATGTCAGTAACCTTACAACGTCGACCAACAGAACGATTTGGACAGTTGACAGCAAACTCTCTTGGACCGGTTTCAAATGAGCTCATCCACAACTCGTCGTTTCCAGCCATCGTAACAATCTACTAGCTACGGTACGGTTTTGCGTGACGCCGTATGACTTCGCCCAGTCATATGTAAATTCAGTTAGCGTATGACTTGATGCGTTGCCGAATGTCACCGGCACCAGAAGCACCACTGAAGTTGCCCCAGTTATTCAGCATGGCGTTTCTGGCCTGCTCCATGCGCGACATGTTTTGGATTGTAACGAGATTATCATTCCGAATAACACGTGCAGTTGATGTCCTCGTAATTTATTTCTCGTAAATTTGACACAAATAATGATATATAAAATGGGAAAAAATGTAGTCTCCTCATGCATTCATGCATACTATAGAGTTGGAGATTTGATTTAACGAGGTACTTGAAATATTGAATTCTTGAAAATGTATGTAATAAAAGATTTATTGAGAAAAGACCCAATATTGAAACTTTAAAATTATACCATTCCGAAAATATTCAATTCTGGATCTTTTAAAACATTGTTCCAAACTGTTACGAGTAGATTTTCGTTCGGACGTTATCTCAATTTTCTAAAAGGGCTGTTTAATCCGTTTTACTGCCGGTGGTTAGATGGAGAATGCGAATATTTGACACTTTCATCCTCGAAAAACCGCATCGAGGATGTGCGAGAAGTTGGTGGCCGTTAGTGGTTACGGAATCGTTTTGAAAAATGGACGACATTTACCTCAAGCATTTTTCACATCGAGTTTAATATTCGCCGCGATAGTAAAAAATTTAATATCGTCCCAGAGGTGTGTGTAATATTAAACTTTCCGATAGATATCTACGTTACACACTTTTCCGTGATCGACCCTTTTTAAATCGAATGGGAAAACTGAAATTGCACATGTTCAACAAGAAAAACACCAAAGAAAAATACTATTTTATTATGTTTACAATTTTTCTTTTTACACAAGATTAGCCCGCATACGCTGGATCTCCGTTTATCATAAATCTTGGGATGTAATGAGGAGTTGTTGTTTTGATTTTATTACTTTGGAATGATGGTGTTCTCACCACACATCTAGAATTTATTGCACGCACTTCACATTCATATCCAAGAATGCATTTCGGATTGCAACCGCGAAAAAATGTTCCTATTTGAAATTCAATTTTTTTTTCAATGTCATTTAAAAAAAAAACATTTTTTAAACCTTACGTTTTTCATCATGTTTCACCTTTTTTTCTTCATGCTTTTTATACCCTGCATTTTTATGTTCATCTTTATGGATTTTATGTTTATTATGTTTGTCGTGAGTTTTGCTTTCTTCATGTTCCTTTTTATGATCACGGTTAGACGTTCCTAGGAACATTTTGAAACATTAAAATAAATTGGTAAAAAGTATTTCTCACCTTTCGTTATTGTCCAATCTATTAAAAACGCAAAAACGATCAATACTAAAAACAATTTCATTTTGAATTTAACTCCACCCAACTTTCAGTTTTAACCAAAATAAGTTTTGCGTGCTCAAGTTTCAAGTGTTCTTACAAAACTAGAAGGAATTCAATATTTTATAAGTTTAAATATTTGTTTTATCTTTTCTCACTGCGATTATGGAATATTTACGTTTAGGAATGCTATTTTACGAAGTACTTATGCAAATTGAGTTTTTTTAAACTTTACCTAATATAATGTGGTACTCTATAATTTTGTACTTAAATATTGAGTTGTTTATAATTAATTTATAATGCGTCGTATAATTTTTGACTTTTTAAACCATAATCTGAAAATGATTAAAACTTTAGTTCACCATTTTCTTACCGAAATGACTATCTTTATTTACTGTGTTTATGCAATCACTTTTGAGGTACACCTTTTCGAAGAATTGAGCTGTATCGATGCTTTTACTATAAACAAATGCTTAATTAATAAGAATTACATCACGATTTGTCTTATTTCTATCGCACATCTTGGTTTTTTGCAATCAGGTTACTTGTAATGACTCAAAATGGATACTCTTTCTATTGATAACTCTTGGGAAAATTGAGATATTTTAATAAGTTATATCTTAAAAGAACACTTAATTAATAAGGAATTCAATGTAATCTGATGCGCTATTTTTAAATGTTTAGATATCGGTGAGGTTGCGTTACAGAAAAGAGCTTGAATCGATTTAAACTTTGCTTCGACTTTAACGGTTATATCTCTTGGATAGATTGAGATGTTTCGATGCTTTTACTTTAAACGAAAGTTTAATTAATAAGAATTACAACGAGATGTATCTTGTTTCCCTCCCATATCTAGAACGATTACAATTAGGTTACTTGTAATAGCTCAAAATGGAGAATTCTATGATGAATAACTCTTTCTTTTGATAACTATTGGGAAAATTGAGATAATGCAATGAGTTATAGCTTAAAAGAAGACTTAACCAATAAGGAATTCAATGTAATTTGATGCGCTATTTTAAAATGTTCAGTTATCGGTGAAGTTGCACTACAGAAAAGAGCTTAAATTGATTTAAACTTTGCTTTGACTCTAACGGTTGTAACTCTTGGACAGATTGAGATGTTTCGATGCTTTTACTTTAAACGAAAGTTAATTAATAAGGAATTCAATGTCTTTGACTCTAACGGTTGTAACTCTTGACAGATTGAGATGTTTCGATGCTTTTACTTTAAACGAAAGCTTAATTAATAAGAATTACAACGACAGGTATCTTGTTTCCTTCCCATATCTAGAACGATTATAATTAGGTTACTTATAATAGTTCAAAATGGAGAAATTCGAAATTTCTTTTGATAACTCTTGGGAAAATTGAGATATTTTAATGAGTTATATCTTAAAAGAACACTTAATTAATAAGGAATTCAATGTAATCTGATGTGCTATTTTTAAATGTTTAGATATCGGTGAGGTTGCGTTACAGAAAAGAGCTTAAATCGATTTAAACTTTGCTTCGACTCTAACGGTTGCATCTCTTGGATAGATTGAGATGTTTCTATGCTTTTACTTTAAACGAAAGCTTAATTAATACGAATTACAATGAGATGTATCTTGTTTCCCTCCGATATCTAGAACGATTACAATTAGGTTACTTGTAATAGCTCAAAATGGAAAAGTCTATGATGAATAACTTTCTTTTGATAATTATTGGGAAAATTGAGATAATTGAATGAGTTATATCTTCAAAGAACACTTAATTAATAAGGAATTCAATGTAATTTGATGCGCTATTTTTAAATGTTTAGTTATCGATGAGGTTGCGTTACAGAAAAGAGATAAAATCGATTTAAAACTTGCTTGGACTCTAACGGTTGTAACTCTTGGACAGATTGAGATGTTTCGATGCTTTTACTTTAAACGAAAGCTTAATTAATAAGAATTACAACGACATGTATCTTGTTTCCCTCCCATATCTAGAACAATTACAATTAGGTTACTTGTAATAGCTCAAAATGGAGAATTCTATGATGAATAACTTTCTTTTGATAATTATTGGGAAAATTGAGACAATTGAATGAGTTATATCTTCAAAGAACACTTAATTAATAAGGAATTCAATGTAATTCGATGCGCTATTTGTAAATGGTTCGATATCGGTGAGGTTGCGTTACAGAAAAGAGATAAAATCGATTTCAATTTTGCTTCGACTCTAACGATTGTAACTCTTGGACAGATTGAGATGTTTCGATGCTTTTACTTTAAAGGAAAGCTTAATTAATACGAATTCCAACGACATGTATCTTGTTTCCCTCCGATATCTAGAACGATTACAATTAGGTTACTTGTAATAGCTCAAAATGGAAAAGTATGATGAATAACTTTCTTTTGATAATTATTGGGAAAATTGAGATAATTGAATGAGTTATATCTTCAAAGAACACTTAATTAATAAGGAATTCAATGTAATTTAATGCGCTATTTTAAAATGTTTAGTTATCGATGAAGTTGCATTATAGAAAAGAGCTTAAATTGATTTAAATTTTGCTTTGACTCTAACGGTTGTAACTCTTGGACAGATTGAGATGTTTCGATGCTTTTACTTTAAACGAAAGCTTAATTAATAAGAATTACAACGACAGGTATCTTGTTTCCTTCCCATATCTAGAACGATTATAATTAGGTTACTTATAATAGCTCAAAATGGAGAATTCTATGATGAATAACTCTTCCTTTTGATAACTATTGGGAAAATTGAGATAATTCAATGAGTTATATCTTAAAAGAACACATAATTAATAAGGAATTCAATGTAATCTGATGTGCTATTTTTAAATGTTTAGATATCGGTGAGGTTGCGTTACAGAAAAGAGCTTAAATCGATTTAAATTTTGCTTCGATTCTAACGGTTGTATCTCTTGGATAGATTGAGATGTTTCGATGCTTTTACTTTCAACGAAAGTTTTATTAATAAGAATTACAACGAGATGTATCTTGTTTCCCTCCCATATCTAGAACGATTACAATTAGGTTACTTGTAATAGCTCAAAATGGAGAATTCCATGATGAATAACTCTTTCTTTTGATAACTATTGGGAAAATTGAAATAATGCAATGAGTTATATCTTAAAAGAAGACTTAATTAATAAGGAATTCAATGTAATTTGATGCGCTATTTTAAAATGTTTAGATATCGGTGAGGTTGCGTAACAGAAAAGAGCTTGAATCGATTTAAACTTTGCTTCGACTCTAACGGTTGCATCTCTTGGATAGATTGAGATGTTTCTATGCTTTTACTTTAAACGAAAGCTTAATTAATACGAATTCCAACGACATGTATCTTATTTCCCTCCCATATCTAGAACGATTACAATTAGGTTACTTGTAATGGCTTAAAATGGAAAATTCTATGATGAATAACTCTTTCTTTTGATAACTATTGGGAAAATTGAGATAATTAAATGAGTTATATCTTAAAAGAACACTTAATTAATAAGGAATTCAATATAATCTGATGCGCTATTTTTAAATGTTTAGATATCGGTGAGGTTGCGTAACAGAAAAGAGCTAGAATCGATTTAAACTTTCCTTCGACTCTAACGGTTGTATCTCTTGGATAGATTAATATGTTTCGATGCTTTTACTTTAAACGAAAGTTTAATTAATGAGAATTAAAACGAGATGTATCTTGTTTCCCTCCCTTATCTAGAACTATTATAATTACGTTACTTGTAATAGCTCAGAATTCTACGATGAATAACTCTTTCTTTTGATAACTATTATAAAAATTGAGATAATTCAATGAGTTATATCTTAAAAGAACACCTAATCAATAAGGAATTCAATGTAATTTGATGCGCTATTTTTAAATGTTTCGATATCGGTGAGGATGCGTTACAGGGAAGAGATTAAATTGATTTAAACTTTGTTTCGACTCTAACGGTTATATCTCTTGTATAGATTTAGATGCTTCGATGCTTTTACTTTAAACGAATTCTTAATTAATAAGAATTTCAACGACATGTATCTTGTTTCCCTCCCATATCTAGAACGATTAGAATTAGGTTACTTGTAATAGCTCAAAATGGAGAAATCCGAAATTTCTTTTGATAACTCTTGGGAGAATTGAGATATTTTAATGAGTTCTATCTTAAAATAAAGCTTAATTAATAAGGAAAGCAACGGCATGAAAGCGATATCATCTCCTAACGAGAATTTCCTCAAACAACGTCTCAAGCCTGGTAGGTGCATGCAGAAGAGGCCCGTTGGGGTTCGTCCACTGCTCCAATATTAATTGCGCACTCCGCTTCTCCACACATAACGAGAGTAATGCAAAATGACACATTTAGATTGTGTGATTCAACGTTGGTAAAGTCGTCTTGCTTGGAGCAGCTTCAATTGTTCCAAATTAAGCTTGATTTCCTTCTACATCTCTTGCATAAATGTAATGAATGTATCTGGACCGTGTTTTATCATATCACAATTTAATTTGAAACCCAACAATAAAAAAAATCTTTGTGAAATTCTTGGTCTCTTACCGCGTAAATGCAGAATGAAAAGAAAACATAAAAATTGGAAATAAAACCTCATCTAAACTTAGTTAATGGTTTGTGCTTTAAACTGAACAAGAATTCGTTCTTGTACTATTCTATCGTCTCGGAGACCGTCATCCAGACAATTTTCAAGGAGTTGTTTTCCTTTAATTAACCGAACTGAGTTGGTAAAATGAAGAGGAACCTTTCGACGGGCGCGAATCTAGGTTAAGACATCGCCGGGGACAGATGTTCAAGATCTCGCGAAAACGAAAATCTCAACTCTCACGGGGTGCGGCACCGACAACCGGAAAGATGGCAAACTCACCGAGTAAATAGTCGACTTCGTTCGGGTTAATTTTGTCTAATTGGCCCTTGTTCCAAACGTACTCCGCTTTTAGCTGTCTTCTACGTTTGTCCCTTAACCAGTCGTCTATCAAGTTCCTTCCGTCCAATCTTCTTCCTTCTTCTTTCGTTAATTCCGGATCGTTTGCTACTTTTGGTAACCAATGTCTTCTACCACCACCCATAAGAACCTAAAAGTAATAAAAAAAAATTATTCGAAAATAAGATAATACTAAGATGTGAGAATCGATGAAGTATGAGGAGACAAGGAATGTTTAAATCCGGATTTAAAGATATCTAGACCCTGTTTCTGTGAAGTAAGTGTGTGGCATTTCTGGCATCAAAGTAAATTTGCTCGATACGTCTTTCGATATATCGAGGGAGAAATAGTCGGGGGGCCTTTGTTCCGTTAAGCTGCACAGCTTACGAACACAGCGTTTCAAGGAACAAGCGCTCGTTTCTCCGCTAAACCGATTTGTATTTATTCTACTCCTCCTCACCCAAAACGCCCTGAACCTCGTCGTTGCAGAACAACGGCCCGATAAGCCGACGCCGTTGGCAAACTTTAAGGAGGAATTTCGAATCGGTATTGGAGAGTTAATGTCTCGGTCGGATTGTAATCCAATTGCGGATATGATTCTAATTTAAACAATTTATTTTTGAATAAATAATAAAGAGATTTACGTTAATATTTCTTCCAGGGTCGTTTTCAATGAGTTGTCGAGCTAGGTCCTTGCAGGATTTCCTGGCCGCGGGGGGTACTTTGGAGTCGTCCTCCCAATATCTCGACGGGGAATGGCCATACAATGCAGCTGGAGTGGCGTGGGTTATCCTTGTATTGGTCACAATTCCTGTGGACTTCCCTGCGAACAATAAACCATTGTTTATTTATTTGATTTCAAACAAAATCCAAAAGGAAATTAAATTAATATCATTAAATATTTAAATTCCTATAATTAAAATTAAAATCAAAAATCATTTGTATCGAAATGAAATATTTTACAATAAAGGTTTTAGAAAATCGTTGCATCCATTTATTGTAATTGTTATTAATTTTCCAATTATTATTTATTCGAATGGAACTACAAGCGAAACGGAAATAACCAGATCATTCGATTAACGTGAGCACTAATTAATAATAAATGATAACTAGTTATTTGGTCCCCTATGCAATAATTACAATTAAAAAAAAAACCAAGTATGGTATTTGATTACAATACCTGATAATTGTTACAATTATAGGGCACAAATTAATTGTATCAAATTTCTTTCATCTCACTTTGTATTATTAAATTTAACCCCAATAAATAATAAGTTTTACGAGAAATCGAAAACCGATAAATTGAAATTATTCGTCTTCCGTTTACGGTTTTCTTCTTTGAGAGTGTTTGAAGGTTTTGGCACCGACGGCGCGTAATAAAAGAAACGGCGGTTTGTAAAATAATGAAACGCGAATGGGACAATAAAATTTCTTCCGTCGCGTCGTAAAAGGGTGAGGCGTTTTTTCTTCTGCGTAGTACCGCGATGTCGAAAAATAAAGAATTTAGTGGGGCGTAAAATTTTAACGTTGTTTTAAAAATTCTCTGTACCCATCCAACATCCAACCCTTTTTGCCATCCTTATGTTTTAACCGGTTTATTGCTGCAGGCGTTATCTAAAAACGTTTTGTTTAGGTTACAATTAAACTTTAGAAATGTAACGACGCGGAAAATATTTTTATAAAACTACTTTAAACTAATCGTTCTGTCAATTCTGCATCTAAATAACTCCATCTACATCATCTTTACATCAAGACTTCACTGTGTCTCCATCAAGACAAATTAGTTTAGAATTAAGACTCTTGATTTGACATTGAGACAAGCGATTATCTCGAAAACGGTTCATTTTACATAAAAATGAACCAAATGAAAGTTGAACTAAAAATTAGTATTAATCAACAACAAGTATAAAATTTATAATAAATGTTAAAATATTTCCCCACCCAGTTCAAAACATTTATTAACCCTTCTACTAAAACATTCTTTACATCTTAAAAGGTTTTCTTGGCTACTATTTCATCAATCAGTTTTTCCGGATGCCTGGAAGATGGCTGAAGTAATTGCGTTACCTAAAGTATCTTCCCCTTCTGCCCTAAGGGATTTTAGACCGATCAGTATCCTACCAGTAATGTCAAAAATTTTAGAGAGAGTCTTGGAAAAGCAACTTAGAGCACACTGCGAAAAGTATAGTAAACTGCCAGATCAACAATCTGGGTTTCGTTCGGGTTTCAGCTGCGCAACAGCTTTATTGAACCTTACTGATGATGTATTTGCTTCTAGAGAGGCCGGGCAAGCCGCACTTTTGTTATCGTTGGACTTCACCAAAGCATTTGATACAATAAATCATAATATACTTGCATCTAAACTTAATTATTTTGGTCTTGGAAATCAAGCTGCAATTTTGATAAAGTCATTTTTGTCGGACAGGTCTCAGGTTGTGAAGATTAATAGTCAAGTGTCGAGCGCTCTGTTACTCGTGGAGACCCTCAGGGGTCTATTTTGGGGCCACTATTGTTCTCTATTTATACATCTGATTTTGACCAGGTTCTTGAACATTCGCAGATTCACTTGTATGCAGACGATACACAGCTTCTGCTGAATTTTAATCCAAATAATTGGGTTGATGCCTGCATAAAATTTAACTCAGACATAGCATTATTTTCTGATGTTGCGAAACGCCATGAACTTGTGCTAAATCCATTTAAGTCTTCTGTTTTGCGGTAGTGTCACAAGGAGAGCGATTAAGCCTTTGATATCCGGTCAATTGGTGGTGGATGGCGAATCTCTTACTGTTTCTGATGATATAAAAATTTTAGGAGTCACATTGGATCATCAGTTGAGGTTTGAGGAGCATGTGGCCAGGTGCTTGAGGGGTGGGTATGGCGCCCTGCTTCTCCTGTATGCCCATAGGGATGTCTTAATATTAGTCATAAGTTGGCAGAGACTGGGTGGTTGAACATGAAGAACAGACGTAAACTGCATGCAACTTGCGTTTATTATAAAATTATTAAAAGTCAGCGGCCTCCTTACTTGCTGCAACGCCTGTCTTTCAGAAGCGATGTCCATAACATTAATATAAGGAGGAAAGATGTATTGACGGTACCACGCCGCGCCTCGCACCGATCCTTTTCCTACCAGATAGCTAAAACGTACAATGATCTACCGATGAACCTTATAGGATTGAACTGTATTTCGTTCAATAGTAAATTAAAATCCTCCCTCCTGCTTGAGTCATCATGATTTTTCTTTTATTATATTCTGAGTTACTAATGTATCGCTTTATACTGGCATGTCGTCGTATTTTGTTATTTTGTTTTTTTTCAGTTTGTTTATTAGTATTGTTAAAAACATTCTCATTTTTGCTTTATATATATATTTTCTATATATTCTGGATTAAGTGGAAAAGCAGTTGGTTAATAACCAAATTGAACTTTGTCTAGAAAATAAGTCTATTTTCTAAGAGTGTATTATTATTTCCTTTCCTTTTTTTTGCGACTTATTAATAAAGGCATTATTATTATTATTATTATTATTTCTGCATGCATTTCTTATCCGCTCTTTCATGTTTTCAGGCGTCCCACAAAAAAAATGAAAAGATGTTCAATCAGGTGATCTGGTAGGCCAGGAAATTGGACCTCCCCTTCCAATCCATCGCCCGGCATAATCCCGATCTAAAGCTTCTCGTGCTGGACACCCATCATTTTTCAGCTACATACTTTGTCTTTCTTCCCTGCTCAAATCTACAAGTAACGTTGGTAAGACATCATCTAAAAAATTTCGGTACTTCTCCTCATTCAGCATACCATCAATAAAGTATGGACCGATCAATTTATCACCAATTATACCACACCAAACATTAACCGACCAAGGTCGTTGATGTTTTACTTCACGCAACCATCTCGGATTTTCAACGCTCCAATAGTGCATGTTATGTCTAGTGACTTGTCCTTTGTTTGTAAAAGTAGACTCATCCGAGAATAGCACGTTACCAAAGAAATTAACGTCCAACCGCATTCGTTCTTGTACCCATTGACAAAATATTAATCGATTTTCAAAATCACCTCTATAAAGCTGTTGGTGCAATGAAATGTGGATACTTGTTGCGCTTTAATATTCTTAAAATGCTGGTTTTCGATATTCCGGCGTTAATTGCAAGTCGTCGAGTGCTAACTTGAAGATTTACCTCAACGCTAGTTAATACCGCAATTTCCTTTTCTGCCGTAGTTACAGTTGCTCACATTTCCAGTGTTAGTGAAATCATTCACAAATCTGTAAAAGGTACTTCTCGAAGGCGTATTTCGATCAGGAATACGTTCTCGTTATAAAGCTTTTTTGCCACTTTCTCCATAAATAAAAATCAATTCGACTTTTTCTGCCACATTTAGAGTATTCATGATTTAATGACTTAGTTTAAACACTCTCCCTTAATGTAAAACGAAGGAATGAATTCAGAATTTGTTGTCAAGCAGTTTTTATGCAAATTTAGTTTTACCTGTTACATTTTAAAACAATTCAACTAATTAAGTCTCTGAAAGCGATATTCTGAAAATGCCGACATAAGCAGTTCCACGAACTCTTGTTTTTATGCGTTATTCTATTATCAAATTGACAAAGGCGGAACCTTTTAGATTTCTTTCGAAAGGTATTCCGACGAGCCAGGTCACCCGATGTATCTCGTATAGATTTTTTTGTTGAGCATTCTTAAATAGTATTCCAACTTCTGCTTAATGTATGCAGATGATATGAAATTGTTTGCACGAATATCTTCTCCACTCGAGAATCCAGCGTGACATTAATGCACCACAACTCTATTGCAATGAAAATTTTATGACACCTATCAAATGTAACGTTATATCTTTTTCAAGAAGTTCGAGTGTCATTAGATACGGTTACAGCTTGGGTGACTATGTTTTACCCAGAGTATCTCAAATTAAAGACCTTGGGGTCATTTTTGACAATAAACTTACATTTAGTGGTCACGTTGATGGAGTGGTTGGAAAAGCGCTGCAAATGTTGGGCTTTGTCATAAGGTCCACAGACTCTTTCAAAAGCGTATACTTAATTTTTGCACTACCATTTGGAATCCGCAGTATCACACTTATATAAACAGAATCGAAAGAATTCAAAAGAAATTTCTAAAGCACTAATACCTATAAATTTAATTTAAACTATAAGGATTACGATTCTGCGTGCAGCTCTTCCCAACTTCTTCCACTCCACCAGCGCCGCTTATGTAACGATGCTCTGACATTTTATAAGATTGTCAGTAATAGATGTGCCTCTTCGGTCTTGTTGGGTTGTGTGAATATACGTATACCACCTCGATCTTTAAGACATGAGACCATTTTTCATACACCCATTCCTAGGACAAATTTATTTCAAAATTCTTCTATGATTCGGATGGCGATTGCTTGCGATCACCTCCATAAAACTGGCAACGGTGTGGATGTATTTTGTAAGATTTAAGAGATTTAATCGCTTGATAACTGCCGTTGTATTAGGGCCGATTTACATCAGACGAGCAAATGCTCATTCTTGAGCTCATTGAAAATAATGTCAAGGTCAAAAATGTTGTCGTCATATGGATTCTCCCTTCGCACAGAACAACTTTTATTTGGTTCATTTTTATGCGAAAGGAACCGTTTTCGTGATAATCGCTTGTCTCACATTAAATGGACCAGCCTGTATAAAGTATACAAAAGAGTTAATGTTTCTGATAAATTAGGAATGAATCTGTGATAGAAATTTATCATGTCTAAGAACCTTTGTAAACTTTTCAATGAAACAGGTTTTGGAAAATCAGAAATAGCTTTAATTCGTGAATCTGATGGTCGAATACCGTCAGATGAAATATGATGACCAAGGAAGTCTAACGAAGGTATGTCATCTAAATATACAAATAATGAGTCGAGACCTGTTTGAACTGCGATAATGAAACGCTGAAAAGTTTAAGCAGCATTTCGAAGACCAAAAGGCATTCTGCTAAATTCAAATAAACCAAAACGGGTAGTGATGACCGTTTTGTAAATATCATCATCATGAACTGGAATTTGGTGATATGCAAAGATGATTAAATCTATCTTTGAAAATATCTTACATCCGTGCAAGTGGAGATTGAAACCTTGTATTTGACTCAATGGATGTATATGAGGTATGTACAAATGGAAAAAGAAGATTGACGATTTCTGGAAAGACGGCGTGAGCCAGAATTTGAACGTTCGTGACGTAAATTATAATGTGAACAACAACGAGGACCATTTTGGTTATTTTAACGTTGGTTAATGGAATTGACCAGTAATTCAATGGAAATTTGGCGTTGTGTAATGTTCTGTAATAGAAGCTGACAAGAATTAGAAAAATCTTGCAATGTCTTAAGAATCTCTGAATTATTATTTATAGTAGAATTTGAAAATGACGATGATGTCGGATTATTAATGAGCGATTTGGGTCTTATTTTAGCGATTGGCACAGAAGATGAGCGGTTAGAAGATAATGATTCCCAAATTTTATCTTCTTCCTTGCCTGAGGCAAACAAAGCAACCGAAATAGTTCGTGGTAGCCTCTGACTTACGCTGAGGAGCCACCAACTGTCGATAACATGCCATTGTAGTAGACAGATGGGCGTTGATCACCCATCTGAGTACCAAACAGGAGATCATTGAAACGTTTCTCTTCTGAAAGGGAAAGTCTTTCTAACAAAACTCCTTTCAGAAAAGAATATAAATCTCTTTCTGGTGGATTATTTATCACATCATAAATAATTGACGCTATTTCAAGAGGCAACTAAATTATATTTATGTAGTCGAAGTTGATGTTGTAGTCCATTTTTTAACCAGTTTTTTAATTTAGAGGTAACAAAGGTTTTTTGTGAGGTTTGCACTTTTACAGGTTAATAAAAAATCTTGTATTAAATATAATACGTCTCTTTATTTACATGTTTTGCCTGTCCTAGCAGGCATCTTCAGAATAAAGAGTAAGGTACAAGTTGAAAATAAAATTTTGAACAGCAGAAACTATTATATTGTTGAACTAATGGCAAAATTCTGTTTAAAAATCACAAATGTCTTGACATTTTCGATACGTTACCATGTCATATTATAAAGAATGTTTTATCTCCAAAAACTGCCCATTGATGATGAATCGCTGGTTGAGACACTCCTTTAAGATTACATAAAAACTCTATGCAGTCTTTATTAAATCTGTGTCAAGTTTTTGATGTCTCCTATATACAACTTCATCTTGACTTAATAGATGCATTATGCTCGGTAGCACTACTTTAATTATCAACCATGTCTGTACTTAATCTCCATCAAGAAATCTGCCTCCATATCCACTTCTTCCACCTTCAAATCTTCCCCCACCTCCCCCAATATTTCTTTCACCTCCTCCAAATCCTCGACCCCGTTTACCCCCACCTATACCGTGTAAATCTCCACCTCCTAAAATTTTGTTATATTTTACAATTAAGACTTCATCAAGTCTCCATCAAGTCAGATATATCAATAGAGATCCGGTATCAACACTGCATCTAAGAGTGTACCACAACTCCTTTAAGATTACATAAAATCTCTATGCAGTGTTTATTAAATCTGCGTTAAGACCTCGTCTTGACTTAATAGATGTATTATGCTCGGTGTTACTAGTTTAATTATCAACCATGTCTATATCAACTCTGTATATCTTGACCTGGGACTTTGACTTGAGTAAGAACAGGAACATGTACTGTACTTTTTACTGCAAATTATACACGACTTGGAACCATGTGCTATGCAACTGGTACTTGAAGTGGTACTGAAATATAGATGTGTTGAAGAATTGGAACTGGACGAGTTGTGGTTACCGGTTGTGGAATAGGAATGAGGATATTTACAGTTTGGGGTACTTCGTTAAAGGTAGCTCCACCACTGCCTCCATATCGATTTCCTCCATCTCCTCCAATCCTTCTTTCACTTCCTCAAAATCCTCTGCCACCTCCAATTCTCCACCCCCTCTTAATCCACCTTAATCCATATTTTACATGGATTTAGAACAAAAAATGAAATAATGCAATTTTTTAACACTTTAAGTTTTTATACCATTAAAACATTCTTTCTTTCCATATTTAACAAAGCACTTTAATTAATTTGTTAAGTTTTTATTACACATAAAATGGAACAAAGACAAAAAATTTTAAATCTCGGTGCAACAATACAATTCTATCAAAATTATTATAAATTATAATTAAAACAGTTCTTTATGGATTACGAATTTTGTGAAAATTTTATCGGTACGCAATAAGAAGAATAGTTGTTAATAAACCTCAACGTCCATTAGGAAGATTATTACAGCCCAAAAAAATAACCACCGAAACAAGCTGAAGGAGTAATCAAGTTGATGTACCTCGCTGAAATGACGGTTCCCATCCAGGTAATGGCCAATCTCATTCGGGTAATAAACCAAGACATTCGAGTCGTCACCGAGGAGAATGCGGATAAATTATACGTAATTTGCAAAGAGTATATACAAAAGTTTCCCCTAAAGGATGAAAATTTTTTTGTCTAGATTTCTTAAATAACCGAACCATAATTGGATTCGTAGTACACAACAAATTTTGACATTCCAATTTGAATATAAATTGTTTTACCCTCGAGACGTACGCGAAATGTATTCGATGTGCATTTCCTATCAGATATGATCGAGAATTCGAGCGAAAGAAGAATCAGACATCTTTTCCGGATACAAACTCCCGCAAAGAACGCCACGATTCCCATCTATCCGTTATATCTTTTTGCACGACACGCAATTTCCGGGTGTGTTGCGCCTTTTTAAACGCTCTATTTTCAAAACTCTTTTGTAGCAGAACTCACCTGATTCTTGGGCCCAATCGATCAAAGAAGACACTCGTGAGGAAAAACTCGAGAAGCAATTCTCAAATCGACCTCTAGTATCCAATCCGACCGTTTCAAAATTTGCTTTAACACCGCAAAGAAGGGCTGTTGCGCAAGCTGATGATTCGCCAATTTGAGCATCCATGTTGTAAGTCTGAAAAAGAATGTATAAATTATAATTTGTAAATTTCGGATTAATTTTCTTAAATCCAATGAAGAAATAAATGTCTTTCGGACGATTTCCTCGGCGTAAACGCGAGCACAAAGCCCGCATTCATCACCTTATTCTTCTGAACCGGAATAATTCCGGAATGTCGCGCCGTATTGCTGCGCCGCATTCATGCGACCGACGACGGTATTCAATCTTTTGATTTACGACACCCCCGACGTCCTTTTAAGTTTCGCCAAAGAGGACGATCGAATCCCCCCATTGCCAAGACCTCTTAAACCGGAAATTACCGACAACCTTTCTCGCGAAAGCTGCTGACTCAAAAATAAAAACCCATATTTATGGCTATAAAAACAACTTTCTGATTTCATTGTGTGCATAATTTATTTATCTTTTCATTGTACCAAAAAAAAAATACGACTAAAATTGAGATGAAAACGTTTTGAGAAAATAAAAAGTTGAGATATTATTAAAATGTCTTTTTTTCTTACAAAACAATATGATAAATGAAACGAGACAAAGTCGTCGTAAAAATCGTTGGAGGGGTTTAGAAAGAAAAACGTCAAGTGGGTCTTTTTGCAACGACCCACTTCGAGAAAGTTGCGATCCTTGAAGAAAGTCTCCCCGGACGGCGATGATTTTTTGTACTTTTCCCTACAGAATTCTAAAACCGCAGAACGAGAAATCGGACCGTGAAATATTTCCTGCGACGTCCGAGAATTCAAATTGTTAGAAAATCCTTATTTTGTTCAAAAAATAACCGAAAAGTTTTTCTTTATATTTATTTTAGGATATATCAAATTTTCAATTCCATAAACGTAGAATGTTGGCAGTGGTTCAACAACTTTTCTAATAGAAATTTATTATTAAAAAGCCAAAGCAGTGGAGTGTACAACAGTTTAGAAAGAGATATTAAACTTGAAAGAGAAATTTAATGGTATTATTTAGTAGCCTAGTGATAGTGCTAGTGCAAAACTAGAACTAACACAAGACCTTGGACTAGAAACATTAGGATTTAGCCGCACGTCTGTCAAAACGGCTAAACCCGAATGATTCTAGTCCAAGGTCTTGTGTTAGTTCTAGTGATAGTGCTTAGATTGAGATTAGTGATACTGATTAGTCTTTAGACGCACGGTTAAACCCGAAACTTTCTAGTTCTAGGTCTAGTGTTAGTTCTAGTTTTATTTCAATGAAAATATGCAACATAATGATAGCTAGTGCTAACTAGCGCTACTTAGCACTATCACTAGAACTAACATTAAAGCTAGAACTAGAAACATTCGGGATTAGCCACACGTCTCTCAAGACGGCTAACAACAAGCTAAGGATTCTTACCAATAAAATAATTACATCAGTACGCACTAGTATTAAGCCTACCAAAACAAATATTAATCCTATTTACAACATTCCTCCTGCTTATATAATTGAAATGATAAACCAAAAAAGACGTAGAACGTTCTACTAGAAAAGAATGACAGAAAACTCGACACCCAAAAATGAAGAGAAAACTAAACCAGTTAACACACAAAATCACTAACAAAATGAACTAACATCAAATAGATTCTTACAATAACTTAATCAAAAATCTAACGACCAATGGGCACGGTCAGCGGACATAGCAGCTGAGTAGCTGAGCCACATCAGATTCCTGAACGGTATCGCTGGTTTACCGCTGAAACTCAGCGCTGGCCGTTTTTAACAGCGCTTTGGTTTGACGTTTAAATGAAAGTGACAGAAAGTGGGTGAAGTCGTGAAGTGAGGTTAATATAATCCCACCTAGCCGTGGCCTAACTTTGACATTCATACAACAAAATGGATACTGAGGAAATAAGTAATGGTAAGTTTGTTCGTATTTAAATTATTTATAACAATAAGTATTTTACTATTGTATGAAATAACTAAATTGTATATTTTAACGGTAACATGCAACAGCCAACGTAGGTTTTCCACATCTTAACAGCATCTTAGGTTTTATTTGAATTCTCTTATTTTACTCTAGATGATTTAACCTATTACCTTGTTGACACCCAAGATAAAAATACTAGTACTGTAGAAGAAGAAGGAAGGGGCGAACACTTCGATGTAGAAGTATATGAAGGTCTGTACATACAAGTATAACTATATATTCATGTATATAAATATGATTTGTGTAAATCTTGTAGATAAATTTATATGGACACATTCAGGAACAATGCTTTTCTTAGCGGAATATGAAAAGAGGAAGGACATGTTCTGAAATCCCAAAATTAAAAAGAAGTTGTGGGAAGAAATTTGAGGAGAAATGTTAAAGCAAGGATATAAATATATAATAATAATCTATAATAAATATAAATAAATATATATAATAATCCACTACCAAACGTTTATTACGATTTGTATCGACCATTTTTAGCAAACACGTATAATACGGAACTTAACTAATCTAATACTGTCAACCAAGACAGTTTAGACATTTAATGCATAATATGTCAAAAACATGATGTGTAGAAATACCGTACAGCGACCAGAAACATGCTGCTTATCATCATACTCATCACAAAAACTGCTTTTTTACATCAGCTGTGTCCGCTGACCGCGCCCAATGATTCAGGAATGTGGAAAACAACTAAAAGATTAATCAAAAAAAGGGAACCAATTCCAACATTAATCCATCCAGAAAACACTTGTACCTGGAAAAAAGCTGAAATATTAATGTTTAGGAAACCAGACAAAAAAATTCGTAAAATCGAAAATTACAGACCTATTAGCCTGCTTCCTGAACTAACACTAGAAACTTTCGGGATTTGCCGTGCGTCTCACTTCGAACCAGTTTCTGAAGAAGGTTGCAACATGGCATCCGAAACATCAAACCTTTTCTTAAAAGACGCACAGCAAGACCCGAAAGTTTCTAGTGTTAGTTCTAATTTTAGTTCAATTAACATCGGCCGTGAAAGCCTTCGTACTGATTTTTGGCCGTTTACGATCGAGCAAGGCTAGCAAAAGTGTTCATCAAGGACTCACAGGGGACTATAGGAATCTTAAAAGACTTGGACGGCAATTACACCGCCAATCCTATAGAAAGTATACGTTTACTAATGACCTCTCATTTTTCAGGATGTACCTTTACCAACAACCGGATATGGGAGGAAGAACCTGTATGGAATCCAACGGTAGAGGACTGGAGGCTAGCTAATCTTGTGGTGGCTGAAACCAGAGTTGGCTGGGCCATAGAGTCCTTTTCATCATTTAAATCTACCGGTCCTGATAATATTCTACGTGCGCTACTACAGTGGTGTATGGCGGAATTACTACCACACCAAATAAAAATATACAAAGGTTGCTTAGCATTCCGCTATGTTCCCTTATCCTGGAGAGAAGTACATGTACTCTTCATCTCCAAACCTGGGAGGAGAGATCAGTCTTTCCTCATTCGTCGGGAAGGTACTTGAAAGGCTATGTGAAAGATATATAAGAGAAACGACACTGGAAAGGTTTCCCCTGCACCCAAACCAGCATGCATACACTCTGGGAAGATCAACAAAAACGGCCCTACAAGAATTACCATATTGCAAAGTACCATATTAATAAAAATTAAACGAAGCATATGCGAGACTGAAAGAACTTTATCCCATTATCAAAGAATCGAAACTGAAGATCGAATAACATAATAGATCGATCTCTAATAACCGATGCATGCCCAATGTGGAGCTCAACTGCTAAATCTAATATTAAAAAATTTCAAGTGCTACAAAATAAAATTATAAGAATGTCTGTAGATGCCCCATGGTTTGTGAGAAACTCGCAGATACATGAAGAACTAGGAATTAAGACGATAACAGAACATATTACTAAAACAATCAAAAAATACTTACAAGACCAACAAAAAGTGTCCAAGTACACAAAAACATCAATTGAAATAACATTTAATGTTGAACTGGTTGACGCTGTACAGGTGTCCCAATTTCGATGTCCGCATAGGCTATCTCCGAAACTAAAAGAGATAGATAAAAAGTAGCTTACATGTCATGATCTCGTTTTTCGAGAAAATGCTAATGCCGAAAACTCCGAAGAGCTATCGTCTTTTGTTTTCGCCCTATCGGCAAAAACTGAAAATTTTGCGAAAACGATATTCGCGAATATCTCACTTATTATCAAAGATGGAGTATTATAAATAAAACATTATATGGGCAACTTTTTACGAAGAATTCAATGGCTTAGGTAGAATTTTTTTCTCATCGTTTATTTTCGAGATTTTAGACGTAACTTTATTTTTTTAAATGGAAACCATAGCTGGCTATGACCTAAAATAATTTGTTATTTTCTTCTGATAACAAATATATATAGTTTGTGGGGCATATTTCTTATAGTTATTGAATAATTAACAAAAATTCATTTTGTTCTATCTAAAACTAATGTATGTATTCAAAATGATGAATGTTGCTATGGTGATAACCATACATACTATGATGGAACATGTATCAAATAATTGTTTATCTTTGTATTTAAAAATTTGATAACAACTCTTTCATTATGTGCTGGTACGAAGCACCAGCATGTTAAGTGTCAAAACATAACAAAACTGAATAAAACTTTACAATGAATTTCGAAAATTATGAAAACTGTAACATGATGGAATGCTATATGTTATCAGATAAGAATGCGACGTTAGCCGCGGAATTATATTTCACAAGGTATCCGGAAAGAAGACAACCGCACGTAAGAACCTTCAGCGGGTAAGCAGAAAATTTAATAGATTTTTGGTCCTTCCCCAAACCACGTGCAAAAACATACCAAAATGACCGGCAAGAGGATGAAGTCAATGTGTTGGCTTCACTTGCGATAAATTCATCAACATCTTGCAGAGAAATTGAACAAGACGTCTTACCCAAAAGCCGCTGCTCCCGAATGGGAAAGAAAAATAAGTATAAACCATACAAAGCGGGGCTAACTCATTATTTACGTGCCGGGGATGTCAATCTAAGATTAGAATTTTGTAGATGATATTTAGAAAAATTAAATAATCTGCTGTTTGTTCAAAATGTCATCTGGACCGATGAAGTCTCTGAGTGTTCTAAGAAGATTAGGGTTCAATGTACGGTATGCCCTTTTAGATAATATAATTTTGGCGTATAGTATTTACCATAAAAACTTAAACTAAGGTAAATACCTCAATGTAGGTATTTAGGTAGCACATTGAGCCTTTGGTCGACAATTTGCCATTAAATATGTCTCAAATGATATATTTTCAATATGACGGAGCACCAGCACATAATGCCAGAGTTGTTAGTGAATTTTTAAATACTGCTACAAACTTTGGCAATAATTGGATACAATGTCTTCCATCATGGTATGGTTATCACCATAACAACAGTTAAGTTTTAAATACGTGCAATAGTTTCAGAAAGACCAAAAAAAATTGATATAGTAGACGCCACGAGAGCTGGCAGTAAATCATCATTTTCCGCTCTTACAAATGCCATACGTAGTTCACAAACCGCTAGAGAGTAATGTGTGTTGGAAAGAGATAGCACTAGTTTAATATGTCTGCTGTACAATTCAAATGGCCACGTCGAAAAAGTATGTCTGTTCTTCTAAGGGATGTCACTCTATAATTATAACCTCAAATCGCAACGTCTTGTGAGCGTTGTCATGAATCTGTTAGTGTTTTCACAAGCCGAAAATGTTTTCTTTGAAAGGAAAATCATTAAATAATATCTTTGACAATGTTTGACATATAACCTCCATTACTAACATAACCCACACTTAAATGTATATGGTGAAATAATCTAAGTCGTACGTCCATATCTTGATTCATACCATTTTTAAGCGATCTGTCACTGCCAGCTCTCGTGGTTTCTACTATACATTATATTCCATCATAGTATGTATGTATGGTTATCACCATAGCAACATTAACCTTTAAATAGATACATTAGTTTTAGGTAGAACAAAATGAATTTTTGTTAATTATTCAATAACTATAAGAAATATACCCCACAAACTATATATATGTGTTATCAGAAGAAAATAACAAATTATTTTAGGTCATAGCCAACTATGGTTTCCATTTAAAAAAATAAAGTTACGTCTAAAATCTCGAAAATAAAAGATGGGAAAAAAATTCTTCCTACGCCACTGAATTCTTCGTAAAAAGTTGCCCATATAATGTTTTATTTATAATACTCCATCGTTGATAATAAGTGAGATATTCGCGATTGTCGTTTTCGCAAAATTTCGAAATTGGGACACCCTGAGAAATCAGACCAAATTGTTAGAAACTTCTTATTTTGTTCAAAAAACAATGGAAACGATTTTTACGTTTATTTTAGGACACCTCAAAATTTCCAATTGCATAAACGTGGAATGTGGTTTTTTTATATTCTACCCTCGCCTCGGATTTTTTGTATTTTATTTTTGGCATGCGGTGCCGCCGTCGCCGTCGGCGGATTAAAATTCATAGGGTTTTTTGCTCCCTTATGTATACACTACCTTCCAAAGTGGGTAAACAGACCTTTTATATGCAAAAACTGGAGCTGCTGCAACCAAAAAAAAATTGAAACGTTTCCTGTATTATTCTAGGTATATTCACATCGTGGGAATTATCACCTCAAAAGTGATTTACATCACCAAAACAGTGGTTTATAAATATTTACATTTTTATGATATTTTTATTTAGGTAACTTTTTTATTTATTTATTTTTTTTTTTTTGTTTGATCCAAACTTTTATTAGATATATTTTCGACGCCATCTGTTAGAAGAAAATAATCTAATTTCCTACGACCTCTAAACGAAACCCCGCTCGTGCCAAAACCCCTTACAAGAATGACGTCCCGATCAATCAAGCTTTACGATCCTAAAGGCAATGTGACTACCCTCTTACCCTGTCATTTTTATCCCGTTCTTCTCTAACCACGTCTTCTCTAATTGACACATTTATTTTTATTTCACTTTCGTGGAAAACATCCATTTCAAAATAATAACTATAACATAACTCTTTTTTATCTTCCTTCACATTTAGACCGGAATAATTTGAAAATGGTTCATTCTTGAAGTCATTGCAACTTCTAAATCAAAATTAAACGGCTGCCCCCGAAGTAGGCGTTTATCTGCAGTGTACCGAGCGCGTTTCTCGACTATAAATCCGGCTTATTTATCGCCTTGGGCGAAGGCGTCGGCGGCGTTGCCCCATCTCCGAGTCGTTTATTGCGGAATGGGGCTCCACCACCGTTACCGTTTGCCCATTTGTTTCCTCGTCCTTACCTTAGCTAAAGCTACAGCCGGAAACGAATCCCAAGCAAGTTCGTGCTCTTCACCCCGTTTCCCTAAACGTTGTCCCCGCAGGATTCTAGCCGCCGTCACGGTGGACACTCCCATGCCATCACCGACAAATAGAATGACATTCTTCGCATGTGGTCTTGTGTCCGACGCATATTGCAGTCGTTTTCTCATTGCAATTCTGGCTTGTTCGTACCAGTACTCGTGGTCTGTAAAAGACGAAAAAAATGTTGTAAGAGTGATGTAAGAATTCGTATTATTAAGACACTTATTTTACAATTTGAGTTAAAGGAGTCTAAAGACCTAAATTCCTGCAAAATGAGTAGAAGAAACATTAATACTGAAAATCTTCGTTGATCTCAGATAATGGCAGGTTAAATATCTCGGGGGGGATTGCAAATTTGCGCGCCGGAAACTCGCGGAACTAGCTCCTTAAGGAATCTATAAGTAATTTGGGCGGTGCGAGCACGATTTATGAGAATACCTTCTGGGATTTATCGACCTGGCTGGAACGGGATGGCCACATTAATTCCAACCAGCTCTGATTGGACTTGATCGGCATAATCAACTTGAAATTAAGATTAGTTTACTTTCAAACTAAACATTTAAAACGATTATTAGCGATTTTAATTCTTATCGTTTATGATAATTATCAAAGGCAATAAGAGATATGGAATGGTAAAATCCATATTTATGGAGCTCCGTTTATGCAACTCAATCAACCATCCAATCGTTGTAATCGTAGTCAAAGAGTTTACAATTCCCAATAGAAAATGCCCATCTTTTGCAGATCGGTTCTGCCTGGCATCACATTCCGATAAAATGTAACTCTATTTTGCTTGTTTCAAAGGAAACGTTCACTTATACGCGGAACACATATTTCGGTTATTACTTTTTTTGTTATAATTCCGCACTATTGCTCGCGTTTGAATCTAAATCGAATGGCTTCATCCAAAGTCAACCATATCTTAAAAATATGTATCTATGTAAATATGTAACAAGGGCCGATTTATCAATATCGAGTTAAATCTGTCAGATACGCAACTCATGGATAAACTTGTCTAACAGATAACCTCAGTGACGCGTTTATACAGCAACATTCTCTACCCGACAGGCAGAAAACCACAAGATAGAAAACAGATGGTACCCCTTAGTGTTAACATTAGAAACGGAAATAAAACATGATTGGTCAAATTTGAATAATTGACTTTAGTTTGTGAAGTTGATTTGTGAGTTGTCATTCCTCCAATAAATACTAATGTAAGAATTACAAGAAAGCGATGAAGATGAGGATATTGTCCAACTACGTATGCCTACTGGTGACCAAATAGAGAAATCACAAGAACAATTTTATAGAAAAGCTAGAATTCCACGGGTGATAGGCAGTATCGATTGTACTCATATTAGCATTATTTCGCCAGGTAAGCAATCTCTTTTAATCGAAACATATGAATTAATATTAATGAGTGGATAATAATTATAGGTGGATCGAGTGCAGAGACATTCCGGAATCGAAAGAGCTTTTTTTCATTGAATGTTCAAACTGTGTCCTCGGTGGATTTAAAAATTTTGGATATTGTTGCTTGTTGGCCAGGATCGGCCCATGATCAACACATTTTTGATAATTCATTATTAAAGCAAAGGTTTGAAAATAATGAGTTTGGTAATGCTTTGCTAGTGGGTGACAGCGGATATCGTAATACTAAATATTTGGTAACACCTTTGCTGAATACCCGAAATAGAGTAGAAGAACTATATAATGAATCTTTAATAAGAACTAGAAATCCAGTGGAACGGCAATATGGCATGTGGAAGAGAAGATTTCCTGTACTTGCACTCAAGCTCCGATTGAAACTAGAAACTGCAATGACAGTAATTGTTGCTACAGCAGTGCTAAATAACGTAGCAATAAATGCAAAGGAAGAAATACCTCCATATGATCCTGGAATAAATGTAAATACTGTCGAGGTAGATAACCTTGATATAGAAGATGGTGAATTACTAGGAAATGCTAGAAATCAACTTTTGGCGAATTATTTCCCTAACCTCTTAAATTAAAATTTATAACATAATAATCAATTTTATTTAGATATTATTTGAATTCGTAATTATATTCGTATAATTTAAAGAATTCGTATAAATGTGGATTGTTGTTTATTAACAAATACGTTGTCTATGAATTTGTTGAATTTAAATATAAAATACTATACTCATATATCACTTATAAGTTATAACAATATAACAAATTATAAAAAAAATCCAATGGCGATCTAATCCCCAGATTGATATTGTGGAAATTTCAATTTTGCCATTGTATCTCTTTTAAAAACTTTTCTACTTCTTTGTCAATGACTTCGTTTGTTTTCATAAGAGCATTAAGATAAATTTTATTATCTAATGTTTGTTGAAATAGATTCCAGTTAGTGAATTTATTAGTTAGTGATAAAAAGTGTTCTTTGTTACATACTTTGTTATTTAGAGTAATAATTACTGGTGAGTGATCTGAGTCCACCCCTAACTCTTCTTCTATGTTTACGAAGTTAAACATAGAAGCATAAAAACTATTACACTAGTACTATAACAGCACTCAAACGGGTGCTGTAATGAGGCTCCTTACAGCATCCGATGCTGTAATGAGATTTTAGTAACATTTTATGGAACCAGTTCAAGTTGGTGACATTGGGTCATTAATTTTTNTTTTTTGCGATTCCTTTTTATTTTATTTTTTTAATTTGTTTAGGGTTGAGTAGATTGTTTCTGCTCTATTTTTTATTCATTTTCACAGAAAAAATACCACCTGTTCCAATTGGAATAGACACCCATATTTTAATTGACATGGAATAATTAATTATTTATAGTTTTCTCTTCTCTTTGTCTGCATTTGATTTGTTCCAAATTTACTTCTTTTTTAAATATCAGCAGTGACGAGAACATTAAAATAACTATGACAAAATTTAATTAAATTTTGTATAAATCGACTACAACAAATTCATAATATTAATTTTATGTAAAAGTAAATTGAAATTTCATGAACCTTTTAACGTATTTGATTTGAAAGCTGACGTAAAAATTGACACAAATTGAATCTCTCAATACACCGAGAATTTCATATAACTCGCAATATCTGAATACAGCAACCAAAGTTACGAAAGTACTGTGCACTTGCACTGTCTCACATACAATACAATATAGCTTAATAGTACAGGCATTATTTATGTTATCCGAATGTTTTAGGTCTTGTGTTAGTTCTAGTCATAGTCCTAGGGCAAAACTAGAACATCCCGCACGTCTCTCACGGCTATTCAATAAAAATATGCAAGATAGCGATTTCTTATGATTGATCAATTAAGTTCGTATCTTTAGTTAAAGTAAACTTTTAACCATCTCTAGGTGTATAGGTTTTTTTATAGAGTTTTATGCTGATAATAATAAAGATTATATAAAAATTGTGGCATAATTTTTAGTATTAGTTAGCTATTATTTTCAAATTTATTAAAGAAGCAAAAATGTTATAGAAACTTTAAACAAGCTAAACATCTACTCGATAATTTTAATATTGATGATTTTCATTATTATAATCAAAAATAACTCAGAAACTAAAACCGATGGAGAAAAGTATTTTATACATAAATTGTTTATAATCAACTAAGATTACATAATTCGTAATCAGATCTAGCTTAGTTATTACTATGTCTTAGCTAGATAGGACAAATCGTCAAAATGTTAAAAATGATGATTTTTGTTACTAGAGTGCACCATAACTCAGGAATTAGAAGTGATAGGAGAAAATAATTCGTACATAAATTGTTCATAATAAACCAATACTATGTAATCCATAACCAGATCTAGCTTAATTAATGCTATGTCCTACTTAGAATGTAGAAATCGTCAAAACATCAAAATTGATGATTTTAGCTACTAAAATCAAAAATAATTCACAAAATAAAAAGGGATGGAATAAAACGTTTTGTACATAAATTGATTATAAATAACCAAGAATACATAATCTATAACCGGGTCTAGCTTAATTATTACCATGTCTAGCTAGGAAGTACAAATCTTCAAAATGTCAAAAATTGTTATTTTTGTAACTAAAGTCGCTCATAAGTCATAAATTAAAAGTGATGGAGGAAAGTATTTTGTATATAAATTGTTTATAATAAAACAAGAATCCATAATCCATAACCAGATCTAGCTTAATTATTACTATGTCTTAGCTAAAATGTAGAAATCGTCAAAATATTAAAAATGGTGTTAACAAACTGGATCATAACTGAGGAATTCAAAGTGATGGAGGAAAATATTTTGTACATAAATCGCTTATAATGAATCAAGAATACATAACCCATAACCAAATCTAGCTTAATTATTACTATGTCTTAGCTAGAAAGTAGAAATCGTCAAAACATCAAAATTGATGATTTTCACTACTAAAATCAAAAATAATTCACAAACTAAAAGCAATGGAGTAAAATGTTTTATACATAAATTGTTTATAAGGAACCAAGAATACATAATCCATAACCGAGTCTAGCTTCGCCACTCGTTTTTCAACTTGAATTCGTGCATTTCAAGCGTGTCTCACGAAACTTATTTTTTTAATATACTATTTTGTAATTAGCGACGGTAATGAAAGCTCTAACAGTACTCAAACGGGTGCTGTAATGAAACTCCTTACAACATCCGATGCTGTAATGAGATTTTAGTAACATTTTATGGAACCAGTTCAAGTTGGTGACTTTGGGTCATTAATTTTTCTAGTTGTCAATGTGACAATTTTTNAAATAATTGTCAAAGTTTGTATTTAAAAATTCGATAACAACTCTGGCATTATGTGCTGGTACGATGCACCAGCATGTTAAGTGTCAAAGTATAACAAAACTGAATAAAACTTTACAATGAATTTCAAATGACATCGAAATTGGGACACCCTATACATGAAACATTTTTTTCAGGTGAATACATTTTGTGTTTTGACAGTTTCTTGTCAATTCAAATTTCTATTTTCAAGTGTTACGGTGTTACCAACTGCTGCATACCTATTTCCCTACATTGTCAAAATTTATTTTATTTTTGTTAAAAAAAGAGGATAAAAACGCGAATTACAAAAAATAGCATAAAAAACACTCATTCATTAAAAAACTCATGGCTTCGCCACTCGTTTTTCAACTTGAATTCGTGCATTTCAAGCGTGTCTTACGAAACTTGT